AAGCCTGCTAAAGCTAAAGCCTGCTAAAGCTAAAGCCTGCTAAAGCTAAAGCCTGCTAAAGCTAAAGCCTGCTAAAGCTAAAGCCTGCTAAAGCTAAAGCCTGCTTTTCCTGTTCGGTAGAGCTTTGAAACCATTGCAGAGCTCCCCACAAATTCCTACATTTGCTGCAATTCGAAATGTTTCAGATGAAATTATTGCTTCTGAAACCTATAAACAAATAAGCACTCTAGAGGAAATAATTTGCAATAACCAAGCCTCAATGGTGGACCCTACAAAAAGAGGAGTGCAAATATGCCCACTCAAAGAAACTCCAAGAAAAAAAAAACAATTAATCATCAGTTCCTGGTGAAAAAAAAACGCATGAATGCTATTGCAACTTAATAAAAGGAATATCTCCAATCGATACGCCGATCCCGAAAACCTCGGGGTACAAATTTACGGCTCAATTTCTTCATTTAAGGCCATCTACGAAGCAAAAGAACTGGCGTAAAGTGGCTGGCGAGGTGTTCTTTGTGCGTAATCGCTTGCAATCGATACCCCGTCCCCATCGATGCATTTTCAATCGATACGCTGATCCCGAAAACCTCGGAGTACAAATTTACTTTTCCTTAATTTAAGGCCATCTACGAAGCAAAAGAACTGGAGTAAAGTGGCTGGCGAGGTGTTCTTTTGTACGGCCACGTAATCGCTTGCAACCTGGCACACGGCCCCGATAGATAGGTGTTCGCAAAGAGGAAAGGGCAATTTTTTAGGATTTAAAGCTATGTGACTTCGAGACCTTGGGCGTCACTATGCCCAAATTTCTGGGAACACTTTTTTGCCCTAAATCTGGCTCTACTTTTGCTACAAATGCCATCCTGTTAAATCAAAATTAAAAAAAGATATTTAAGGTTGAAGCTGATCTGAAAAACTGATTTTTTTTCCTTTAATACTTAATAAATTAGTGATAAACCGATTTACTTTAGTCATTTCTACAGAAAATTTCATCAAAAACAGATTACTACAATTTGTAAACCTTTTTTTTAAAAAAAACCCACTGAAAACCAGAGACCAAAAGCCGGTCATTCAAGCGGTCGAAAATTCCTGCACCTTCAAAGAAGCTGCTAGAATTTTCGATCACCTCCTCGCCATCAATGGGAAATCTCAACTAATTGACCCAGAATCTTTAAAATCTCAAACCCCAAAAAGCCTTTGATCAAAAGCTTAAAAACAAATTGACGGGGTTTTTTCAAAAAATTCGTCTACTCTTTGCGCCATTGGTCAGAAATAGATTAATCTATTCGAATCGGCGGATTTCTTCGGCTTCACTCTTTGCTTTTTTTCGAAATAAAATCAACGGATTTTTGACGAATCCCAATATCTTCGTCGTCTCAACAAAGAATTCAGGATGAGAAGAGGGGGAAAAAAAGAGAAATGTTCGCCCACACAAAGGAATCTTCACTCGATGTTGGTACCTCATTTTTTTTGAATCATTGAAGGGACTCTTCATCTTCATTTCTTCGGAAAATATTACTAGAGCAAAGTTATTAGTGAAATGAAAAGCTAGCTAAGCTAGAGCTAAGCTAGAGCTAAGCTAGAACTAAGCTAGAGCTAAGCTAGAGCAAAACTAGAGCTAAAAATCTTAACTTTGCTATGCTCAAACTGTTATGATTCGAAGGAAAGAAGGATCGAAAATGGATTTTTGTCTAAATTCAATCATGAGAAGTCAATGAGTCAATGAGTCAATATCCCTGCTATCGGTCCTGTACAAGCTCTACACAAAGATTCTCCAATGAGATTTATTTATTGAAAAGTAAGATTGTATATTGATATTAAAAGATCAAAGAATTGATATATTGAAGCGAATTTAATCAATCAAACAATCAACAAAGCTTAGCCAATGAGAAAATGCATTTGAATCAAAAAAAAAGGACTAGGGAACGATTTGAAAACTTTTTCACAGCAAACAGTATAAAATTGTGTGTTTCTTGAAGCTTTAAGTAAAGATTTCGAGTAAAACTGAATCCAAAATCTCTCAACAACGTTGAAACAATGCAATCCGTGTTGGAGCTCAATGAATGAGCCTTGATTACGTCAAAAGTGAGCTATGAAGTAGAGCTTTTGATAAAATTTCTAATCAAAGGAAACTTTGAAAGAAAATTGAGCGTCAAGAAAGTGTACAGAAAACATAAAAAATCTGTTTCATGAATTTCATGAAAGTCTTAGCCTTAAAGCTCATTTTAGAGCAAAAATAAACCCGAATTGAAACGAACAAAAAAAAAACAAAGAGGCGGAAAAAACAAAAACATCATGGTCTTAATTTAAACTTTTGACTTTATTTTCTTTATTTATTTTTCTGATTTCCCCATTTCCCAAAGAGAAATGAAGAAATTCTTGGAAATTCTTGAAGAAATTTCGTCAACTCGTATTTGACTCGTATTTGATCCCCCCTTTCACCCATCCATCCTTTTTCCACAATTTACGAGCTTTCTCTCAGCTTTTTTTGTCTTCAGCGCCTCACAAGTCTACACAAAATTTGATATTTAGCAAAGTCTAAGGTGACTCGTGACCTTTTATTTAATCTATGGTAAGGAACAAAGCGACAATGAGATAAAGCTAAAAAGAGCTAGCTTTCAGAAATCCTGGCTTTCAGAAAAGATTTTTCTATGGAGCAATCAGGGGAAACAATCCCAAATGCTAGTAAGGCAAGATTTTAGAATTGAATGGTGTCATGTTTTTCGGGTCCGTTTCGACTTTGAATATTTCGGTTAATTTGGGTTTAGCGAGCTGAACCAAATGTAGGAATTTGTAGCAAAAATACAGCTAAATATGGGGCAAGAAGTGTTCCAAGAAATTTGGGCATAGTGACACCCAAAGTGGCGAGGCCATCTTCATCAGTCCTTCCTCTTTATCAATTCCAAAAGGGAATACCTATCTATCAGGAACGTGTGCCAGGTCGCGAGCGATTACGCGGCCACACAAAGATCACCACACAGTGATTCCCTTTTGTTCTGTAAATGATCCCCAAATGAGATTTAATGTTAAAAATTTGTGCCCCGGGACTTTCAGGATCGTAGAAACTATTGGCAAAGTTTATTTTACTCATTTTTCCCAAGAAAAGTCACAAGAGAAACGAATTGGCTTTCGGTTTTGCATATAATGGAATTTCATAATGAAAAGACCCAGATTTTCAGCTAAACCATCACTTAATATCTTATGAAAAAGTTAAAAACAAAATCCAGTGTCATTTTTTGAATTTTCAGACATAAAATGTAGTTTCTACTTTTGCTTTGTCAATGAAAATGATTCGATTAAAGGAGAACCGTTTGCAAGAAAAAGATTTCACTAAAATAAGCGTGAGACTTCTCTAAATCGATCTACAAGTACACAAAAAAGTCCATTTTTGAGAAAAATTCTTTTCAGAACTTTAAAAACTTTTAAAGAGTTTAATCTCAAGGGTTTTTATTTCCCCAAAAGAACCCACGAGATCTTAATAATTTGTGGGTATTTCGTTGGCTCTTTTCCCCGCGAAATGCACCCAAACTTTCTTCAAAATGAGCTTTTTGGAGAAGCAGTGAAAAAACGAATTTGGCAAAAAAAAAATGCGTAATTTAGTAAGAATTTCAAGTTTGGCATTTGATCTTCTGAAATCTTTGATCTTCTATTCAAAAATAAATGATAGAATGCTATCGAATGTACAACAGAAATAGAAACAGATTATTCTAAAGACAAATTAATGCCTCAAAGTTGAGAATTCTGAAATGAACAAGAGTAACACAATCTAGTGAAGCTGACAAAGTAAAAAAACTTTCAGAGTAGAGAGAAAAAAGATAGATGCTAAAAAAAGATGCTATCAAGTGTACAAACAGAATTATTCTAAAGACAATTTTTGTCGGCTCAGTACCAGGCCATAGGTCCTGCTCCTATAATAGCACTAAATTCTATGTAAAATTGAATCACTTGTTGGGTAGGGAACGTTAAATGCATTGTGGTCTGAACATCGTTCCGTATATTGCCGTTGTCCTGAGCCTTCCCTTAATCTTTCCTCCTTTCCCTCTCTTTCCCATCTCATTCCCTTCTCAAGTCTCAAGAGGTTTTCGTCATTTAGAACGCATCTCTTTGACAAGAAAAATCAACGAGATAACCCCAAAGTTTCATTCTCATTAAATTAAACAAAAGACAAAATGAATTTTCGATTTTTGGAAGAGCTCTGCAATGGTTTCAAAGCTCTACCGAACAGGAAAAGCAGGCTTTAGCTTTAGCAGGCTTTAGCTTTAGCAGGCTTTAGCTTTAGCAGGCTTTAGCTTTAGCAGGCTTTAGCAGGCTTTAGCTTTAGCAGGCTTTAGCTTTAGCAGGCTTTAGCTTTAGCAGGCTTTAGCTTTAGCAGGCTTTAGCTTTAGCAGGCTTAGTCCTCTAAGTGTCAATGAGTTCCCCTTAATAAGAGAGGAAAATTTGAGAGTAAAATCTCTGTAAAATCCTTACAAAATCCTTACAAATATCTCTGTTCAAGGTCATTCTTTGTCCTTTTCTTTTCCCCATTTTCTCACGTCTTTCAAATTCTCAAATCTAGGTCAAAACCTCTCTTTTCCACTTTCTTCTCTTTTCGTTCATCACCAAATTTTACTCCCCTCAACGTAAAGGAAAAGGGTTTATCCTTTTTGATCATTTTTAAAAACTCGTTGCTGTGGATGTTGAAGCTTATGAATGAGAGACTGGATTTGTCGGAAAGAATGAAATGAAAGGAATGGATTTGAGTCGACGATTCCCTTCTCTTTCATCTCTTTTCTCAATCTTTTAAACTCAAATCGATTCGTTTTTGCTTTTTCTTAGTTTTTAAAGTATTTCAAGTGTTATTTACGAGTGAACCATCGCCTAATTTTATTATTAATGCCTAATTTTGCTATTAATTTTTTGCAGAATTTTCAGATGCAATGCTTGCTCTCATCCGAGCGATTAAAGGATGGTTTTTTGGGTTTATTATCTTAATAACTGCTTCTTTTGGGAGTTATATTTGTTGTTTAATGGTGCCGATGTTGTTACTCGGGATGAATAAAACGTGGAGACATAATATGGATCGAGCTGTTTCTCTATGGATGACCATTCCAATGGTGGGTTTAGGGGAAATCCGGTAAAGTGAGCTAAACTGCCAACAAATACGATTCCTCGATAAGATCCTTTAATAAAAGCTTAAAGTGGATCAACAGCTAATTGAAAACATCAAATTCTTCAGTTCAGTGCTTTCTCGAGTGGTTCTTCGGGGTGACAATCCGGGTGTGCGGAGATCCGATCGAGTATGATGAGCCGGCAATGATACTCATGAATCATCGAACAAGGTTCTGTTATTGTTCAGAGAACAATTACATTTATTCAACATGAAGAATGTGAAACCAACAACACACAAGCACATCCCAAATTTAGGCAAGAAAAAGCAGAATAAGAAAATTTGAAAAAAGACTGAAACTTTCGAGTCCGGGATCGAACCCGTGAACTTCCGACTATGATACTAGGCTTCTAACCACTCGGCCATGACGACCCTCAGACCCCGGCGACCCAAAGCCCATCATATCGCACTTTCAGATTAGATTGGATGTACATTTGGTCAGCTCTTTTCCAAATAAATCCCTGGTTGATTACGTCGAATAAAATCTCGATGAAGAAAGAGTTGAAGTTCTTGCCGGGAGCAGGTGCCACCTTAAAATAATCACAAGTTTTATTGAAATTCCTAGGATTCGGCATGTCGGCGAATCAATTCATCTTTTTGGAAAGAAACATCGAGAAAGATAAGGAAAGCTTCGAGAATACGATTGAATACTATGCGAGTATGAAGAATAACTATCAGGTAAGAAATGTGTTTACGAAGTGGCTCACAATTATAGCTCACTTCAGAGGGTCTAGATTGTCCAAAACTGGCCATAGATTGTCCAAAAAACTTACATTAATAACCAAATTTTTAAATATTTGCCCAAAACTTACCTAAATTGTCCAAATTTGGCCAAAATTTTCCAAAAATTGCCAAAAATTTCCCACCCTTAAAAACCCAAAAAAACTCATTTTTAATATTATCACATTTTTTTAAAACAAACCAAAATTTTTCCAAAAATTATCAATTGTTTCTACAAAATTGCCAAAGGGTGCCCAAATTCCCAAATTCGCTAATCCACACTACTCATTTAAAGAATTTTTAAAGTTTCATTTTTTTGATAAAAAGTCTTTAAAAATTTAATTTAATTTCAATTAATCATATTTATTTATAAAATTTAAAAGCGATAGACCTTGAAAAATAAGATTTTTCTTGTTCTTTAGTGGCTTTTCTAAATGTCACAAGTGAAAATAGATCATTTTAAGCGAGTTTTGGTGGCATTTCTCTAAAATTTTTGCACTTAAACTGCGTAGAGAAAGTGAAATTTCGTTCATTAACATAATAAATTCAATTTTAAATGTGATTTTGACAAGATCACTCTCAAAAATCCTGTAAACGAGGAGCGATACTCGGCTCTCAACTTTGGAAAAGCATTTTAAAAAGTTGAAAGCTTGAATCGCTTAGATAATGAGCACCGTTCTAGGAGATTTATTTAAGATTTACCTCCAGAGAAATCAAAACGATTGACTCAATTTTGGGCAATCTAAGCCCTCTGAAGCTATAATTGTGAGCCACCCTGTAATTCTAAAGTCTAGGTGCTGCTCTTCCCTGAAGGCACAGATAAAACCGATTGGACGACCGCCAAGAGCAATTCGTTTGCGAAGAAAAACGGGTTGAGGTGAGTTCTACAACTTTATCAGCTTTTGACATATCTGGATACCAATTCAAGTTCAATCATTTTTCAATTTAGCCAACTCGAGTACGTTCTCTACCCGCGCGTGGCCGGCTTCAATCACTTGCTCAACAAAAATGAGACAAGGTGGATCAAAAAAAGGACTTTATTTACAAACTTTATTTACAGAATAACTAGAGAAATTTAGGAATTTCGTTTTAGAAAACTATATCTCGTACATCTATGACATCACAATCGGTTATCCATATAAAACCGTGCAAACCGAGATCCATCTCGTAGCGAAAGGAGATGCTCCAAAAGAGGTGAAATTGGAAATGAAAATTATTCTTTTACAAGTATACAAGTATAGTAAAATAGTTCTTTTGTTAGGTCCACTTCCATGTGAAAAAAATCCCGATCTCGGAGATCCCAAGGAGTGATACGGCGGCTGGAGCATGGTTGACAAAGTAAGGACTTTTTGGAAGCAAGAAGATATTGAAAACTATCAAATTCTTTAAGAATTTAATAATTTATATTTGAAACTTCTAGACTATGGCTTGAGAAAGAGGAACGCTTAAGGAAATACTACGCCGAACCGAGAGAGTCCTTTCGTCGATTCGAATCTAATGGATTCTCGTGGAGCAATGTATGAAAAAACTTTTACATTGAGTTTTTTTTCCTCTCGAGTAATGCGTTTTCTAAAAGACACCTATTTAAGAAAGCTACCGTAGTCAGAGCGTTAGTTTACATCTGATCAACTTGATTTTGTCATCATTCGATGAGGAATTACAAGGCTCAATCAATGACACCAAAATTGATAACAAAATCGGGTTGGGGGATGTAAACTAATGATCTGAGTACGGTAGTTCCCTAAACTATTAGGGTGGTGCAAAAGAAACTGCCGATTTGAGGGTAAATTCAAAAAAAAGATGGCATTCGATGGTGACATGATCACAATGGAATATTTTCGCAAGATTTCGAGCAGATTGGCATGGATCGGCCTGAATAACGTCCCTCAGCTTGGCTTTGTTCACGACTTCTGGCCTCGAACCGTGCTTGTAATCTTCCAAAGCCTCATCTCCCTCTCGGAATCGTTGAAACCAAGTCTGACACTGCCTGAAAGACGAACTGCCATCTCCGAAAGCAGCACAGAGAGAACGATGCGTTTCGGCAGCAGACTTTCCAATTTTGAAGTTAAACAGTAATGCTGCTCGTAACACAAACTTTTGCTCGACCATGATCTAAATAAAAAATATAAGCATTTTAAACAATAAATAAAATAAAATAAACAACAACCAAAAAATTCAAATGTCGAAATAAATAGAAAACAAATATGCGAACAAAACATTAAAAAAATAATGCCGTTAGCATCGCTCGTTTCTGATAAATGAGACCTGATACCCATCGGCAGTTTCTTTTGCACCACCCTAATCGATACCTTTTAGAAAACGCACACTCTACTTTTCCATAGTGTTTTGGCAAAGATCAATTTCGTGCTAAAGCGGTAAATCTCTTTTTAGGTAAAAGAAAGTTGGCGGAAACGTTTCATGAAAATTTTCTCCGGGTTTATCTTCTTGACAGTGACATTCGTTTGGCTCTACCACGTGACATTTATTCGATTTTTGCAAGTAAGGAAAAAAAAAGTCGTAATATGCAAAGTAGAGTGTGTCCCTCTCAAGTAATAGCGCAAAATAGGAAACGATCTCGTTTTCTAATACGTGGATCAGAAGCTTTCTTGCTCATTATCCATGAAATCGAAAAGGGAGTCGTTTTTTTTTGAGAGGAACACACTCTAATGCAACTCTAATGCATTCTAAAGCAACTCTAATCCACTTTAATGCAACTCTAATGCACTCTAATGCAAAGTATCGAAGTACACTTCATTTATTATTTCTTTCAATTTCTCATTCTTTCTCACAATGTGCTCAAAAATGAAAGAGTAAATGATAGTGGATACTAGACTTCGGAAAACAAAACAAAACTTAACCAAAACCAAAACCAAAACCAAAACAAACCAAAACCAAAAGCAAAACTAACCAAAACTCGCCAATATCTCGTGATTGGGAGGAGCTAGCAAAAATCTGTTTGCAGATTTGAAATCAGCGTCCAAAAAATCTATCCCATAGGCTAATTTTTGTTTCGAAACTTCGAGGTCGTGTTTTGGTCCTTTTTTCGGCCGCGGGATTTTGTGGAGTGAGAAAAAGTGAAAGGCAAATTTGCATTTTACAATTTTAAATTTACATGTTAATTTATATGCAAATTGAGTTTTGGTTTTGGCTTTGGTTTTGGTCTGTTTTGGTTTTGGTTTTGTTTGCCGAACTCTAGTGGATACTGTAAATACTATAATAGTACCCCCATTCCCATAACGGTGTGGAGTGTTGCGTAGTCTAGCTTTGAACGCGTTTTTCTTGACACTGATTTATGCTATCATGTGCGCTTATTTATCAAAAAAAAATAGTGCTGAAATTCAGCACTATTTTTTGATCTCAAAGAGCATTTGATTACGATTTGATAAAAATGAAATACGAAAAAAACTTTTGCGACTACACGACCGTACGACTATTACAGTATTTACGGTAAGGTACGTACTGTGTCGTAACATTTCTTTACCGTAATCAAGTGTACCAGAAAGCGCTCGTTTAAGACCACAAAGTACAAGCATCTGTTCAATTTTGTTCATACAAAAAAAGCACAAATCTTTGAAACCTTCTAATTCTATTAGGTTGATGCATAAGTGTTTTTGTTCCTTTTCGTCTGCCGTTTCAAGCCAACAAATGCACCAATTAAACTACGGTTGATTTCATTAGAAAAAGCAATTATTTTTCTGCAAAATAACATTAAAACGGGTTTAAAAATATTTAATGCCTGGATTTTCTTAAAATAAAAAAAAAATGATTTGATCTGTCTTCGCACTTAGCGCAGATCACAACCCGCTTCCACATTTACTGAGGCAGAAGTGTAGTTGTCGTAGCCGATGATACTCCGATGGCCGGGCTGGGGCGTTCGGAGGGGAACCCATGGGAGTCGAACCCACGACTAACCCGCGCCGACGTTGCTCAACTTGGCAGATCGGCGGGGTCGACCACAGACCCTTCCCTTTCTGGGCCCCCCTGGATTTTCTTGAGAGTATGAAGTCGGGTAGTCAAAAAGGGCTAACTCGATGATGCGGTTTAGACACCTTAGCTAAAGAAAACCTATCTTCGTGTCAATAGATAAAAGATAGAGAAAAAAACGTTTGATATTTCGCCAAAATTTCAGAGAAATTCATTCAGCCAATTTTTCCGTAGAGTTTTTTATAGATTTTTACGAAAAAGGCGTTTTTCACTCTCGAATTTGCTTGAAAGTGAACCGAAATTCATTTAAAAAGATGCAAATTGAACAAAAAAACACTTTTTTTATAGAGCAAACTATAGATTAATTCGTGAATTTGTTACTTTTTAACAGAAGTACGGAAAAAACGAAAAGACTTATGCATCAACCTATTAATTGTATTTCTAATTCTATTTCTAATTCTAATTCTATTGGGTTGATGGAAAAGTCCTTTCCGATTTTTTGGGGGAGTACCTTAAATTTGTCGAATTTTGACGTTTTATAGCTCATCCTAAAGCCGAATTCAAGACGGATCGATTGGTAAAAACCGTTTTGAGATATCTCTTTTCTAAAAGTTTTTACAGCTATTTTAGTAAAGGGCGGCAGAGCCAAAAAAATACAGCCAGATAGCTGTAAAAACTTTTAGAAAAGAGATATCTCAAAACGGTTTTTACCAATCGATCCGTCTTGAATTCGGCTTTAGGATGAGCTATAAAACGTCAAAATTCGACAAATTTAAGGTACTCTCCCAAAAAATCGGAAAGGACTTTTCCATCGACCCAATATTTCTATATCTAATTCTAATTCTAATTCTAATTCTATTTCTAATTCTAATTCTAATTCTAATTCAAATACCTTCAAATTTCTCAAATCGATGTTCTCCTTTCCAGATCGGCCTCCTATACGCGATTTTTGTGCAACTGTTTACCGGGTATTTTTACGGTGGAATCGACGGCTTCACCCTGTACAGATGGCGGAAAACAAAAGCAAAGTCTTTCATTTAGAAAATCCTATCAAAAACCTTTCAAAGAAATATTCAAAATGTGCATATTTTCTATTTGTTTTCTTTTCTATTTGCAAATTTTCCCATCAAAGCACTCAATTTTTGCTTCGACATCACTTTGCTCATACCAAAAATTTTGTTGATTTTCCTTAAATCTGAATAAATTTCTATTATTTAACAATAAATTTCAACATTTTTTATTTATTTTTAAAATATTAATAAGATCTTTCGGTACTTAAGGGATTATAAGGACCGCAGTCTTGATATGTTGTATGTTGTTATGTGCCCCGCGGTCCTCATAGATCCGTCCTCATACATGTAGATCATAAATAGGTTCCGCAAAAAAAATGACATTTAAAAGTTTGCATAAACCCATTGCCTTCTCATAAATGGTTATAGGCTTAGGCTTAGGTTTAGGCTTAGGCTTAGGCTTGGACTTAGTGCGAAGGCTAGCGGCTAGCGCCTCACACTAAGTCTATTTGGGTTTGGGCTTAGGTTTAGACTTAGGTTTAGGCTTAGTTTTAGGCTTAGGCTTAGGCTTAGGCTTAGGCACATAACCACAGGTTAAGACCGCCCGACTTATAACTCCTAAGTACCGATTTTTCTCTCTATTTGACAGAAAACGTTTCTCCATTTCAAGGCTAAACTTTTCAGGGCAGATCGCTGGCAGAGATTATGAGAAAAGTTGTAGCAACAGCAGCAACAATTTATCCCAAAAGAAAGAAACTTTATTTCTGAGATAAACTCTATCTTTTTTCTAGCCGTAAAGATACTTTTGTTGTTGAAAAGCTGCAAGCTGAAGCTCTTGTTTTTTCTGGTGCTTAAGGTAAAGAGTAGTTTTATAGTTTTATAGATCTTTCCATTGTTCCTGGTGTCTAGTTGAATATCAATTGTTGTTAAAAAAGCTAAAAGTCATGACTAGCTAAGCCAGACCAAAGGCTCAAAGTAAATCGGATAAATTCAAAGCACACTAGAAAAGAAAACTCAACAAAAGTCATTCTTGGCAAAAAGGAATAAAAAAAAAAGCATTTTCTTAGCTTTCAAAGCTTTAAAAGCTTTCTTTTGATCGATAAACTAGGGGGTGGGACAAATGCGACCTTTTTTTTTGCGCACCTGAACATTTGCGCACCTTTTTTTTGCTGGAAAAAGCCTTAGGCAAGGCCGTAAAGCTTCGAAAATATATCCATATAAGGGAATCGTATGCGTAGATTCCGAATTTCGACAAATCACACCTCGCTGACACGTCAAATTTGGGCTAAAAGGCAAAAACTGCGGAAAAGCGTTAAGTTGCGTAGTTTTTGCCTTTTAGCCTAAATTTGACGTGTCAGCGAGGTCTGATTTGTCGAAATTCGGAATCTACGCATACGATTCCCTTCAATGGAAATATTTTCGAAGCTCTACGACCTTTCCTAAGGCCTTTTCCAGCGAAAAAAAGGTGCGCAAATGTCCAGGTGCGCAAAAAAAAGGTCGCATTTGTCCCACCCCCATAAACTATCTAAAAATTCGGCTCTTAACTTCAAAATGTTTTATTTTAAAGTGAAAAATTGGTGAACTTC